AAAATTGGGAGTTTCCCTCATGTTCCTTATTAATTCTGTACTAAATCCCATAGGTTCTACCATTAATATATATTCTAAATCTGCTATTTCTGTCTCTCTCTGTCTTTATCTCTGTCTCTGTCTCTGTCTCTGTCTCTGTCTCTCTCTCTCGTTTTGTTTAGTATAGTATCTTGCTACCTGGCTCAGACTCATAGGCACTGGGATTACAGACATGTGCCACCATGCCCAGTTTCAGTGGTTGGCACGGAGCAGAGCTGACATAGCATGTAGTACTGGGGATCAAACCCAGGTCCTTGCACTTGACTGGCAGGGGCTTAGATCGCTGAGCTATCTCCCTGGCCCAATCTGCCTATTTCTTACCTGTGCTCTCTACCATCATGGCCTCTCACCAGAGCTACTGCAACGGGTCTCCATGCCCCAACCTTTACTGCCCCTGGTCTGTTTCCAACATTGTAGCCCAGGTGAATCTTTTAAAGGATGTAAGACCCTTAAAAACTTGGGGTCTCTACAAGAGACTGCAAAAAATGTATTCTATTTAATTGCACTTCTGAGGATTGAGACTGAGCTGTTTCAGTCCCTTTTATAATTTTTCAAATTTTGAAAAAGGGTCTCCTCAAATCACTATGTTCCTTCCTCCTACCCCAACCTCCCAAAGTGCTAAGATTATCGGCATGTGCCACCACACCAAGTAAGAAATGTATTCTGAATAGTAGAAGAAAAAAATAAGGTTAGGGGGGCTGGAGAGATGGCTCAGTGGTCTAAAGCACCTACTTGGAACAAGCTCGGCAAAGCACAGGGACCGCGGTTCGATCCCCCAGCACCACATGCCAGCCAGCCGCGCCCCCTGGTGGGCTGAGCTGGCCACACACACAATAAATAAATGTAAAAAAAAAAAATAAATAAATAAATAAAAATAAGGTTAGGGGACAGGGAGATGGCTTAAGAATAAGGGCTTCTTCCCTGGCAAGTGCAAGGGCCTGAATTCAATCCCTGTTTCCACTAAAACAAGAAAATAAATAAATAAATAAATAAAATTTGGGGGTCTGGGGAAATGCCTCAGTGGAATAAGTGCTTCCCTGGCAAGTGCAAGGGCCTGAGTTCAATCCCTGATTCTGCAAAAAACCAAAACAAACAAACAAAAGAAAAAAGAAGGTTGGCATATTGTTTGAGAAGACAATCACTCAATGCTTAATTTTTGTTTTTTGAGACAGGGTCTCACTATGCAGCTCAGGCTAGGCTTGAACTTGCTTATGTAGCCCAGGTTGGCCTTGAACTCTTGGTGAACCTCTTACTTCAGCCTCCTGAGTTCTGGGATTACAGGCATGAAACACCACACCCAGCTCAATGCTCAATTTTTTTTGTTTTTGTTTTTTTGCTCCGAATGCCTTCAGGGCAGGTTTGGCTGGCTTGAGTTGTAGGGATCGAACCACAGCAACCTGAGCCTGACTGCTTTGTTGAAGCAGCCACTTAAAGAACTGAGCTAAGGGGCAGGCCCCCTCAATGCTCAAATTTTAACCAGGGAGAAATGTGCTACAAATTTCTCCAGGAAAGGTATAGATGCAGTTGCTATTTTAAAACTCCAGTACCAAGAGAGGGAAAGCAAAAGCAAGAGCAAATGAGCTGATCAGCAGTGGCGAGAACACTGATCATGAAGTGCTACCCATGAACTGTGCAGAGGTAGCCAGAGGCTCTGCTGACCTGGTGGCGTCCCGGGTTCCGAAAGTCCCCGCTGCCCAGCTCCTTTGGGGCCCTCACTCTATCAGTGAAACGTTCTCTAAAGCAGTGAGGCCTGGTTGAGCATCTGGGAGTGCTAGGAAGTTCTTACAAGTCTCCTTTGCTCATTATTGTACTCACACACAGATCCTGTATGTGCTTATTTGCTGATTGACTGATGATAGTGCTGGAGATTTAACCCAGGTCTTTGGGCCTGCAGGCAAGTGCTCCCCCTGAATCCCAGGTCCTATATTTAGAATTCATTCGCTCCTCACCCAGCTCAGCTTTCTTCATCCCCGCTCAATGGAAAGTATGATGAGCTCTGGCCCTTGGATCATCCAGATAAGAGTTCCTACCACTCTGATTTGTCAGACCAAACCGTAAAAATTCTCACCCATGGGGCCGGGGAGATGGCTCAGTAGAATAAGTGCTTGCCTGGCAAGCACAGGGCCTGAGTTCAATCCCTGGTTCCACCAAAAAAAAAAAAAAAAAAATCTCACCCAAGTGGATGTGCAAAAATTCTAGAACCCTCAAGGTGCGGGCTGACCCAGGAAGCTTCAATAATCTGAGGACCACATTCTAGAATTACAGAACACTCTGTCCCTGATTGAGGATTCTTTGAAGGCAGTATGAAGATACAAACCAGCGCGGATGGAGCTCATTCACATTCCTACACGTAGCTGGAGTTTGTTACTCTCCACTCCTATGCGGTATCCCGCTGTTAATATAGCCACAGATCATTAGATGGCGCATGATTTGGTTTCTGTTTGGCAGAGTTACAAACAATAAACATTGTATGTTTTAAAAAATGGAAGCACATCCTGAGTCTTTTGATTAAATCACCATTTCTGGAACAACGCCAAGGCCCCATGTCACCCCTCTGACCTGCGACCTACTATGTTCCCCCTTGGTTATTGCATCCAGTCAAATCTGACTTTCAGTAATCATCAAACCTGGCAGTCCTGGCTTGCCATAGAGCCACCACGCTGGCCACGGCTCCTGCCCAGAATGTTCTTACAATCTCCGCCAGGCTCTTTTCCTCCCTCCCTTTCTATCTGCTTCCACGTTCCATGAAACCTACACAACCACACTCATAAAAACTGCAATTTGCATCTCTAGTTCTCATTTCCCTTTATCCTGCTCTACTTTGTTTCTTCAAACAATTACTGTGTAAGTTTACAAACAAGACAGTTCCTTTTGTGTGTGATTTAGTTGTCCTCCCTCCCCAGGCTAGATGATGTGAGGCAGGGGAATTGAGTGCATGGCCAGCTGGCTGGGCAAACGGGGTGACCTGTCAATCACAGAAATTCCAGACACACATGCAGAAAAAGTTCTGAGGCCCACACCTGGGACTAATAAGAAAATTCTACCCTTAGTTTTTCTGGCACAGTATCAAGCAAGTTTTTCATAGGATAGCCTAGGTCTGACATCAACCTGAGGAGTAGGGGATACAAAAGATTGTGGCCTTGTGGCCACGGTGTGGTCTTTCAGTGGCCTGTCCTCACTGAGCTGAGCATACTTCTTTTTCTACCTTTAATAAACATGAAACCTTTTGTGCTTGTTTTGTCTAGTACTTTGTTGAGGTCAAGAACCTAAAAAGAATTTCTAGAAGGACCCCATAGCACTCCAGGACCCCTGTAACAGAAAGTCTTAAGAGTAGGATTTGGTCAGATATGAAATGTGAGCTCCTAGCTGTGTGTGGCATGATAGTTCAATGAATATTTATGCAAGAGAGAAGGAAAATGAAAGGGAGGGAAGGAAGGAGAAAAAAGGAAGAAACTGTGCCTGGAAGAGAAATAGCACAGTGGAATTCAGAAAAGGTTTTCTAAGATGGGAAAGATTTGAGCATATCCCACTTCTAAGGAATCAGTGGGGGATGAAGACACAAGAGAATGAGTTGGACTAGTTTTCTAAGAGTATGAGAAGAAATGGAATCCAGAGGACAGGCGATGGGTTCAGTCCAGGAGGGAAGGTCCAGGGCTGCAATGACCAGTTTTCAAGGCTAGTGAAGATCTCATCAATCAATTCCTCAGCAAGGACGCAGAGGCTAAAACCTTGCCATGGGATTTAGATTGCTATGCACAAATTAGCCCCTGGGAGTCTGAGTCTCCTCCCTCTTGATGGCTTAGTGTGGTAATTTTCAACCAACAGTCCTCCCAAATCATACCATCCCAGTCAGCTTGACAGGCCAGCGCATGACCTGTGTGACTACAGGAAATGCAGAAGGCCGGGGGTTGCTGCAGATGAGTTACAGGCTTGTTGAGAGGATCCCAGGAGGAAGTACTGCTCTTCAGCTTCTGTTTTTCCCAGGAGCAAATGAGGTCATTTGCTATGATTAAATTATGTGTTCATGGGGAGGTTCTGAGGTAGAAGGAAAGCAGAGTTTGGATTTTTTTTAATATGGAAAACAGAATATTAGAAATTGCTGTGTTGTAATAGGCAGTGCAGGCTTACTGGGGGGACACAGGACCCTGTCTAGCTTAGGTTAGTCATGTAAATTGAAAACCTTGCTCAGTGTGCAAGGTGGCAAACCTTGAAACAGGCATGGAGCATCACACCAGGGCCGAATTATTTGTTTTGATCGGGTAGGTGAATTAGTTTGATGGCGTGGTCATTCAAGACAGCAAAAGTATCCTGGCTGACCAGATGGACCAGTGAAGCCTAAGCTAGGTGAGGAAAAGAGTGAAGATACAAGACAACAGGAAACAACAGTATACAATCAAAGGTTCTATGGACTACAGCAGGGCCAGACCCCGAAATCACTATTCAGTCTGGGGTGAGGGCCAGAATCTCCATTTTTAGCAAGGGCTCTAGTTAACTGTGATACAAAAGGGTCATGGATGAGTTTCTAAGAATTAGAAGATTTAAAATGGTAGTAAGTTTAAAGAAGTGATCTCTTGAGAAGATGAAAGGAAGAGGGAGAGCACACGTTAAGCATGAGCCAGAAGGACAGGGAGCATGAGGCGATGACTTTATTATCTCCAAAGTGACACAGTCCCGAGTGATGAAGGCCAGGGTGTGCCCAAGGGAGGGGGTGGCTGCAGTGGAGTGGAGGTGAACATCACCAAGGGCAGAGGAGGTCAAGGTCTAAGCATGTTCCCATGCACTTTGAAGCCACCCAAACAGTGGCAGTACTTGGAAATAGAGAGGCAAAACCAAAAGCAAAGTTCAAGGCCACTGGGTAATGAAGGGGAGGGACCTACAGTTGCATAGGGACAGAGAAAATATGGGACACAGCGTTGTCACTGGTTAGGAGTCTGTACACAGTGGAGAAAAAGTGAAACTGGTTACCCTCACATGAGTGTTTATTGTTTATTAGGCTTTATAAAGATTAGGCCATTGATCTTCCCAGACCACCTTCATATGAAGAAGTGCTGTTTGCATTCCCCATTCACAACTGGGAAACTGAACCATGGAGAGGTGAAGCTTCTCACAGCTCTTATTCATTATGCTAGGTTGATTTTCATAAAATGATAGAAATGTTTTATTTTTTCACCATAGTGCAGGGCATGGAACCCATGTTCTCACGTATCTGCACCGATGAGCTGCATTAGTGTCTTAGGAGGTGTTTTAATACAGTTCAACTAAAAAAAAAAAAAAAAAGTTCCCTGAAGAGTGTGGGCAGTGAGGCTAACCGGAAATACAATGTAGATAGTTACTTAAATTTGTATCGAATTATTTGTTGTTCAACTCCAGCAGGTGGTAGCACTGAGTTACAGGTCTGTATGAGGCCTTTTAGTGGCCAGTCCCGTACTCCGCATGCCCCGAGACTATCTGCTCCAGGCCTTGATGATTTCTTCAGCAGCATCCAGTGTACTGTCTTTCTGCAAATTAATGAAATACTTGCAATCATTATTTACCAACACAAAGTCAGGGTACAGATTTAGATACAAAGCTGCAGGTCATAGTAGCACGGAACGCAGACTTATGTGAATGTCTGATCTGAGGTGAAGAAAATTTTCCAAAGCGCAAAAGGCAAACACAGAACAATAAAAGGAACATGCTCTAACCTCCCAGATCTTTTCCCATGGAGGCTTTCATCTGCCAAGACAACCTTTTTTGGCACTTTTAATCTAAAGAAAATCCTTACGCTTCTTTTTTTAATTTGTGGACTTCCCAAATTAGTCACTGCACATTGCTCTGTACAGGGAATATTTAGTTCATTCTAAATAGTAGTCTGCTCTTCCAATCAAAATTTCAGTTACACTTACTGAAAATGATCCACTTAGTTTTTGGATAGGCAATATATGCCCGTTATATTGTATATAAAATTAATTAAATTGAAGGGTAAACAATGAGTCTAGCCTTGTGTTTTCCTGTTCTGCTATTTTTTTTTTTTTTTCTTTTTCTTTTCCCCTGCCAACTGACTCAGCATGGAAGGCCACCGGGTGTGGCGGAGCAAAGTACATGTCCAGGCGTGGTGGAGAACCTGGGCTGCCTGCTGCAGGGCCCTGGAGTCCGAGTGGAGCAGGCACGTTGGCCAATATGAGTGGAAGCAGGGGGTACAGAAGCTGGGTAGGTGGCATGCGCTTGTCATCATGCACCCTGGAAGGCTGAGACAGGACGATCACAGTTAGAGCCTAGTCTGAGCCAGTTAGCAACTCACAGAGAACTTGTCTCTAAACACACATGCACACGCATGCGCGCGCGCGCGCGCACACACACACACACACACACACACACAGAGCTGAGGATATGCTCTCAGGGCACACAGAATAGCAGACATGTACAGACATTACAACAAAAATTAGACATCAATTCATAGCCAGTGACTATGCTCCCGCTCGGTCACGTAGCCGGCCCTGACCGTCTAGGCCCACATGTTCCCCCTTGGCCATGTGTGGGTCAGACTGACTGTGTCTGACTTGTGTTCTAAAAATATGCAGTGATTCCAACTTGCTTCAAGCGCTTCAAGGCCACCATGTTTTGGGGAAGACGGCCCCATCAAGGACACTTTCAACTCTCTCTACTCTTCTCAGACCCCCCGTCCCTCCCAGAATGCTCCTGTACAAACCACCCGACAGTGTAGGGCATAATTCTTGAATTCCACGTAAGTGATCATATAATAACCTGCTATCAGCTTTGTACACTCACAAACCATATTTAAACTGAACTAGAACCTGACTGTGGACCGACGATGTGAATCCCTGGGTTTGCCAGCCTGCTAGCGTAATAAGAGTTGCCTTCTAGCAAAGAGTCTTCCATTTGAATTGATATTAGTTTCTCTGCTACAGTGTCACAGCACAAAGACCCTGAGTTCAAACCCCAGTTCTGCCCCACCACCAAAAAAAAAAATGATAGAGTGGCAGCAAAGATGCTGAGCCGAACGGCGCCACAGCTCAAGTACGTGAGACATCTGGGCGGTACGGGCCTGGCTGGGTTTTGTGTTGTTGATTTTTGACACAGGATCTTACTATGTAGCGCTTGCTGGCTCCATGTAGGGTTCCAGGCATCTGGCTTGTGCTGTCAGAACCCAAAAGAGGTGAGCAGACTTTCTCTTTTTATTTATTTATTTATTTAATGTATTTAGTACAAGGTCTACAGGGTCTCATTACACAGCTTGGACTGGTAGTGATCCTCCTGTTTTCAGCCTTCCAAGTGCTGGGATTGCAGGCGCGGGCCACTATGCCCAGTCTTAATCGCACTCTCCATGCTCCCCAGGGGTGGGGCTGGCATGGCACACGGGGAATTGAACCCCTCTCTTTTTAAAATTAATTAACTAATTAATGTCTGGTACCGGGAACCAACTCATGACCTCAGGCTTGCCAGGCAGGCACTGTGCCGCTGAGCTACATCTCTGGCTTAAGGAGGGTTTCTATGCAGTGTGAGGCAGAGGAGTGGGGTGCTGGAGACTCAGTGGAGGGCAACACCATAGGAGGGTGAGAGCAGGCGGGCATGGGGCTCAGAAGCCAGGCAGGGAAGAACTGTGGCCACACACACTGGGGTGGTGGAAGTGGCTTGGTTCAAATTGTCCTGGCCTGGTTGGACCAAGGGACATCCATCCCAGAGATCTGGATGAGTGGGTGGAGGAGGACTGGCACCGAGGTACACTGATCACATATAGAGAGAAGTGTTGATTGACTGCATAGTTAAATCCTAACACCAGGCTTTTTACTGTTTAAGAAGGGAACACAAATGTAGAAAGGGAAGGGACGGCCAAAGAGCTCAGTGGATTAAAGTGCTTGCAAGCCGGCGCAGGGGCTGGGGGTTCGATCCCTGGGCCTGCTTGCCGGGCCTGACCCTGGGGTGCGCTGACATGGTAATTGAGACTGGGTGTGGTGGCCCACGCCTGTAATCTCAGCTCTTGAGAGGCTGTAAATAGGGGGATCATGAATCCAATCTAGTAGTGAGACCCTGAGCACCCTGTAGACCCTTCCCTAAAATACAAAAAGCAAACAAAAGCAAAAACAAGTGTGGTGGGCTGGCGAGATGGCTCAGTGGTCCAAAGCACCTACTTGGAACACGCTTGGCAAACCACAGGGACCGCAGTTCAATCCCCCAGCACCACATGTCAGCCAGCCCCGCCCCCTGGTGGGCTGAGCTGCCCCCCCACAATAGATAAAATAAATGTAAAAAAAAAATTAAAAAAAAAAAAAAAACAACAACAAATGTGGAAAGGGAAAAAACTGGACTGCAATCTTTTGGCAGTTTGCACCATGTCTGGATACTGTCCCATCAGAGGCGAGCAGCTGGCTTGAACTGAAAGCTCAGCGGAATGAACTAGAAGGGTGGAGTTGAAGAAAGGAAGGAGGTTCATTTGTAAGGAGAAAAAGAAAAGACAGAACCAAGCTGCCTCAGAGAGAGGGCATCTGGAAGTAGATGCCCCTGAGCCTTTGTCTCTGGCTGCTTTTGCTAGAGATGGGGTGGACACTGGGGGCTTGGCACAGCCTGATTGGGCTGTCTCTAGCCGGGTCCCAGGCCTCAGACCCTACCGCAGGCTCTTCTGCCTACGTGGACATCCCTTCTGGTGGGCTTTGTTTGATTTTCTCCTCCCCCTTTGTCCTTATCTCTGGGATTTGTAGGTTGGTTAGGAGGAGCTTTATTAAAAAGCCTAGAGATTGTAATTAAGTAAGGGGACATGTGGGTATCTAGTGCAGTAGTGACAACAAAGAAAAAATGCACACACATGCGTACACACACACACTAACGTTTTCTCTTAAATTGGGTAGCCACCCTTCCACTAGGGGGCTATTCTGGTTTCTGGGATCCCCGCCTCCTCCTTCATGTTCTACCTATAATCTCTCCATCAGAGACCAGTCCTTCCTTGCTTGTAAATGCTTATGCTATGCACACTATGAAGTGTCTTTCTGTGTCTAGATTCTTTCTTTCTCACTCTACCTTGATTCCTCTAGTAACATTTTGACTTCGTTAGCCAGGATTAGCCAGTGATTTGCCAGGGGCAAAAGCCTTTTTTAGTAAGATTTTCTATTAAATTTTTTTTTTTAAATGTATTTGGGGGGCTGGAGAGATGGCTCAGTGGTCTAAAGCACCTACTTGGAACAAGCTTGGCAAAGCACAGGGACCACGGTTCGATCCTCCAGCACCACATGCCAGCCAGCCGCGCCCCCTGGTGGGCTGAGCTGGCCACACACACACACACACACACACACACACACACACACATACTAAATGTTAAAATAAAAAAAAAAATTAAATGTATTTGGTACAGGGTCTTACTAGGCAGCTCAGACTCATAATGATCCTCCTGCTGTTTCCAGCCTCCCCAGCACTGGAATTACAGGTGTGCGCCACCACACCTGGACTTGGTGGCTGGCTCAGCTCCTAGAGGCGGGGCTGGCACGGCATGTGGTACCTGGAATGGTACCCTGGTGCCTGCACTTGTCCGAGCAGGCACTTAGTCTGCTGAGCTATCTCACCAGCCCTCTATTAATTTCTTTAATAAAGCCTAATAAGGCCCTCCTATTTTTTGCCCTCCTATTTTTTCCCCTCCTATAGCGCTCTCTCCCTACAGATACATATAAATACAGAGATACGTATGTACGCAATCAGCCTGCCAGGGCCAGTGGTTCCGCAAAAGGACACTGCAGCTGGGCGTGGTGATGTAATCTCAGCACGCAGGAGGCTGAGGCAAGATAGCAAGAGTTTGAGGCTAGGCTGGCTGCACAGCAAGTTCAAGGCCACCCCAGACTACATCATGAGACCCTGTCTGAACCAACAACATTTTCAGTTGTGTATAATGGCACACCCCTGTAACCTCAGCGCTTGGGAGGCTGAGGCAGGAGGATTGCTAGGAGTTTGAGGCCATCCTGGGCTATATAGTGAGGTCAAGGCTAGCCTGAACTACATAGTGGGGGTCTGTTTCAAAAACATAAAATAAAATAACAAAAAACAAAATCCAACAAAAAATAAATTAGGTCTGTACTGAACATGTATAGACTTTTTTGGTTTTTATTCCTTAAATAATACTGTAAAACAACTATTTGCTTGGCATTTATGTTTTATGAAAGTATAAATAACCCAGAGATAATTTAGGCTATATGCAAATACTACACCATGTAGATAAGGGACTTGAATATTCACAAATTATTGTATTTGTGGTGGTCCTGGTACCCCTTATCTACAAAGAGATGACTACAAGATCTTTAATCATGATACATCAACTTGACCAAAAAACTCAGATTAGTAAAGCATAAATCTGGGCGTTTGTGGATCGGTCCTCAATGAGTAACCTCAGGGATTATATGTCCCTGGCCCCTTCCTCCTTAGTGCCTGTTTGCTCAGTGGCTGTCATGAACATAAGCAGATTCCACCATGATATTCTTGACTGGGAGCCAGTAGACCACACTGAACCCTCCGAAACCATGAGCGAACATAAACATTTCCTCTTTTATTTTTTTTTGGTTGCTTGAGATAGGGTCTTGCTATATAGTTCAAACTGGTCTTGAACTCACTATGTAGCCCAGATTGGTCTCAAACTCACAGACAACCTCCTGTCTCAGCCTCTCAGGTGCTGAGATTCTAGGCATGCACTACCATCCCTGGCGGTTTCCTCCTTTAAGCTGTGGGTACTATGTCCCAGTGATAGGAAGGCGAGCATCCCAACAGCAGTGAACGCTTGTACTATATTGGCAATGGCTAATTCCAATGAATGAAACAGGGATCAATGAGTCATTATGGATACTAATGAACAGGTAAAATGAATAATTTGTTCCATGCGATATGGAACATTTTCACAGTTTCAAAGTACTTTGCTACAAAATAGCCAATGTTTTTAAATGGAAAAAGTCTAACTTTATAGGAGAAAAGCCTAGCAAATACCATTTAATCCACTTACACCAGTAAGAGCAAAATTGAAATCATGTACCCACTGATGTAATAAGAAGAAGAAAACTGCAGTTCTCTGCATTCCTGTCAAAGTGAATAACCTCCGTCTAGTCATGGGGAAGCACAGACTGAAATTCAGGGACTTTCTTCCAAAGAGCTGGCTGATAATTTTCAGAAAGAATCAAAATCACAAAGGTCAAAGCAAACCCAAGAAACTTTCTAACTTTAAGGAAACACAATTTCTGAATGGGATGCGTAATTCTAGATCCATTAAAAGGTATTATTACTATTATTATTTTTATAATAATTAACCTTACTTTTACTTCTACGTTTAAATTGATTGAATACATATGTTGTCAGGTCATTAACATTTCTATTCTATTTGGAATAGTCCTTCCATAGTTCATTCATAGACTATTTCTAAATGTGAAAAAAAATGTTCACCTTATCCTAACACAGTTTTCAGAAGAACAAGTTGGCACTGAGTGCCTTTGTCTCAGACAGACTGTTTTTAGCTCTAGTAGCATCTTAAAAACGGCAATGACATCTTCAGAATCTTTTTAAATACAGATCCGATGGTGATGAGTTCTCTCAGCTTTTGTCTGTCAGAGATGTCATGTATTTTCACTCTTAAAGAACATTTTCACCGACATAAAATAGTAGAGGCTGACATAGCTATTTTATTTCTGCACTTAGAACACAATGTTTCGTTATCTTCTGGTCTCTGTTCTTGCTAAGAACTGAGTTAACATTGAGATCTTTCTTCCTGAGGTGTGGTTTTTCTCTAATTGCTTTTACAATTGTTTCCTTACTTGAGATTTGAGAATTTATGCCTGGCTTACAGGTTTCTTTTTTTTAAATATATTTAGTATAGGGTCTACAGGGTCTCACTACGGAGATCGGACTCGTAGTGATCCTCCTGCATTCAGCCTCCCAATCCCTGGGATTACAGGGGTGCACCACCACGCCCAGTCTCAGTCTCAGTCTCAGTGTGCCCTGGGGGTGGGGCTGGCAGGGCACGCTGGGGATTGAACTTGTTCGGGTTTTGAGACACCGGTCTCCTCTGTAATCCAGGCTGGCCCGAAGCCCATGATTCTCCTGGTAAGTATTGAGAACCACCACCAAACCCAGATTTTATTTTGCTTTAAATCCTGTTATAGTTTACTGTGCCTTTGAGATTTTAAAGTTGCTTTTCGGTAAATATGGGAAAATTTTGTACATTATTTCTTTGCTTTTCAAATTTTTTTTAGGGGGAGGGAAGTTAGGATACCGATTTTTCTATGTAGTCCAGGCCTTAAACTCATGTAGCCCAGGCTGGGCTTGGATTTGAGATCCCCCTGCCTCAGTTCTCCAAATATTGGGATCACAGACTTGCACCACTACACCTGGCTGATTATTTCTTTTCTCTTTTCTTTTCTTTTCTTTTCTTTTCTTTTCTTTTCTTTTCTTTTCTTTTCTTTTCTTTTCTTCTTTCTTTCTTTCTTTCTTTCTTTCTTTCTTTCTTTCTTTCTTTCTTTCTTTCTTTTTTTTGTATTTTAGGGAAGGGTCTACAGGGTGTTCAGGGTCTCACTACTAGATCAGACTCCAGCTTCCTAAGTGCTGGGATTACAGGCGTGCACCACCATGCCCAGTCTCAATTGTCCTTTCAGCAGGCCCTGGGGCCGGGGCTGGCATGTAAGCCTGGGGATCGAACCCCCAGCTCCAGCTTGCAGGTGCTTTAATCTATTGAGCTATTTGGCTGGCCCTGATTATTTCTTAAAATAATATTTTTTCCTTTGTTATTTTTTAAACAGTAGCCAAGTTTTATTAAGGTTAGGAAAAGAAACAGGCACTGCAGAGTGAGACTGGGCCAACTAAACATAGGACAAGAAATACACTCCGCAGGATGAGGGCAGGCCACGATGCACAAGTGGACACGAATAACGCTTTGCTATTTTTTATTTGTGGCAATACAGGGGCATGCTGCAAATAAATCACTTGATATCTCTATTTTTAAGAAATAATTTTTCTTTCATTTTTTTCAGATTAGACATTTCTATAGATCTGTATTCAAGATGACTTCCCTTCTTACTGACAGCTTCAATTCTTTGCTAAGCCTGATAAATGTTTCATATTAAGTTCTGGAGTTTCCATCTGATGTTTTTAAAGTTCTAATTCCTCTGTCACTATGTCCGTATTTTCTTTTAACTTATTGAACAAAGTAGTCATATTTTTTTTAATTTGAAAAAATCTTTTATTTATTTGGTACAGGGTCTTGCTATGCAGCTTAGACGTGTAGTGATCCTCTTGTCTCAGCTTCCCCAGCACTGGGATTATAGGCATGTGACACCATGCCTGGTTCTGGGGTCAGCACGGTGTACCCTGGGTTCTGGGGTTTGTAGGGCATGCCAGGGATTAAACTCGGGTCCTTGTGCTTTCCAGGTAGGTGTTTATGCCTCTGAGCTATCTCCCCAGCCCCCTATTTCCTACTTCTATGCCACTTTTAGGTATATTTTTATTGAATACTTTTTTTAAAAATATAGGTCACATTTTCTTGTGTTTTTACATATTTAGTAACTTCTTATTGTATTCTGGACATTGTTTCTTGATAGTGTCTGAATTATGTTGTCTCCCCTCAAAGAGGTTGAGTTTTATTCTAAAACAGTTAATTTCAAGGCAGCAAACCAAAATTTAGAAACTGAATAGGTTATAATTTTTAGTAATAGAACAAAAGGTGCTTTATAAATCAGAAAGAAGGATATTATACATTGGTTTCTGAGTGGATCAGAGAACTTACTTTAATGAAGCAAAAGCGCACGAACTTCTCAAACTGTGACTTAGTCTCCGAGTTACAGAAAGCTGACACTGGGATGGCTGATAGTTTCTGAAAAAAATAGGATTAAATAATAATCAAACCATTTATACTTAAATATTAATTTTGAGGCTACAGTCATTATAAGTTACTTTTTTTCATTTTGAGAAATGAACTTAGAACCTTTCCACTGAGCTACATTCTCAGTACATTTTTTATTTTTTTTATTTTGAGACAGGGTCTTGATTAGTCAGTAAGTTCTCCTGGTTGGGTTTAAACTTGAAATCCTGCTGCCTCAGCCTCTCAGAGTTCTGAGATTACAGGTGTGTGTTGCACTGCCTAGCTCGAGTTTTTAAATTTGCACAACCATTTCCAAAATGAAAAATGTTTTTAAAATCCCCCCCCAAAGTCACAGTGGAAAATATGGGTAACAAAGTTATAACCGATGTTTTTCAAAGCTTGTGAGCAAGTTTCCTTCATAAATCAACTATAAAATACAGCACAATAATGTGAAGGTCAATAAACATCACCTTATTTTTGGTCATCCATTTCACAAATTTATAGTCATAAGGCTCATTGGTCTTCATGTCAGAGAGGTCAGCATCTAAAACAACGATGAAAATTAGTTTGCTTTTGAATTATACTTGAGATGACACGTATTTCACTTAAGTCCATCAAGATTCAAAATTTTCTCCTGATGTAGTCTGATTTAGCTTAGAACTTTCTTGGCAGATGTTCACAAAATCCTGGAGTCTCAAGGTACCGAGGTGCTAAGGCAGGCAGGCGCAGAGCAGAGGCACGGAGACCTAGCAGCCACGCTCATATGCGCATGGTCAAGTGTGCGTGCGTGCGTGCGTGCGTGGGCAGCTGTCGCTGTCGGCGCAGGCGCAGAGCAGGGAAGGGAAGAGTGTGCGCTGGCATTCCACCTAGAAATAGGACTCTGTGATAATTATTAAGGAAATAGTAAGTTAAGCTATATTTGTCAGTAATTGACATTACTGAGAGATCTAATCTCATGGCAAAGTCTTTGCAACCTATTGCATCCTCAACTCTTAGGTCAGCAAGTAATCAAAAACATATTTGTTGGATAAATTAAATAATACTATTAATTATTTATAAAGAGGGAATGCGCCTATCTTTCCAATGTTATAGTTGTTTTCATATACTGTAATATTTAACAACTTTTTTATTTTGAGAAAGAACTTCAGATACATATTTTCATTCCATTCATTTTTTCTTTTTGGTGGTACTGTGGATTGAACTCTGGACCTTGTGCTTGCCAGGCAGGCGCTTATGCTGCTGAGCTATCTCCTCGGCCCCTATATTTCCATTCTTACCCTTTTCTTCTATCTTGCTTTAAAGTCTGGGCAGGGTATTTTTCTGGCATTCATTTTCAACAACCTATATTTCATACTGTTTGAATTTTATTGGCTTACACTCTTAGATCTTTTAGAATGCCCCCAAATACCCCAATATTGATGGCTAATGTAATCAGTGAAGTTGTAATTTATTTGTCAGAACAAGTTGAGGGGAATATTTTATTTTTTAAATTAAATATTAGTGGGTG